TGATATATTTTCAACAATACGTCAGCTGCATTACTTCAACATTTCATCTAGATTAAAGTGTAAAAACGAAAAATTACTGACACACATCACACCTCAGACCTTTGCAGAACACCTTTAAGCAACTACCCATGTTTATAACTGAAGTTCGTGATGTTGGTTGGTATTGACAAATGGCACTTTATAGGCTAAATGGAATATGGGATAAATGGTCTGGTCAGAGACCACTTAAGTTCAGTAGTGGCAATCCATGGTTTATAACTGCTGTCCTTAAGGAATGAAATCAATCAAGAGCACCCTGCGCCTACTATTCTGTTACTCTTAACCAAATAATGGGATTGAATGTCACAGTTGTATCATCAACACAATTGAAAGTGGAGATTGTCTTCAATAACATATTGCTGATCAAGCTGATCAACCTCCCGACCCAGCCATATACGCTGACCAGAAGCTCAAGCCAAGCCTCTGAAATCGGTAATCATTTATTATAGGATAAATCCCAAGCGCTTTCGAAAGGTGGATAAGCGATCGGGTTATACGGTTTTTATCATTTTGTATCAAGACTTCTTGAACCTACGTGTTTTTCTGACATCATGCATATATAAAAGTAAGTTGGTTAGCGTCAGTAGGTAATTAATTCAGATTTAAATTTAAATTTGTATCATTTACAATGAATCCTTTAAAATTTCCAGTCGGTAATTTGTTTATTCTTCCATTATATCACATTTCAATAATAACTCGTAAAAATATTCATTCGTTACTTTGTATGTCGGAAGAAATAAATAGTTTTAATGTCCTAGAATGCTGAAAAACACAAGAAAAAAGCGATTTGGAAAGTTCTAGAAATGAAGATATCGTACATCAGACTTATTCTTGCAATTTGAGAAATGCTATTAAGTTGTAAATCTCAATTAATATTGATATAACACTTACCGGTATGATATCACCATTTTAACATCACTAACAGTGTTTGGTGATTATGCGTAGAAATTATATCCATACAAACATCTTTAAACGTGTCAAGGATCATACTGAACTTTTTTTTATAGTTTGTTTTGTTGTACTTAGATAATTACAAAAGATGAAAAACAAACATTTACAAACCATATTTTGCTGGTCAGTTCACAATACTTTTATTACCAGATGGCGTAATAAAATATCGATGATGTCAATATTGACGGTTGAGAAATATTTCGTATATCATTTTTATCCAGAGGGCGCTACGAAAGAGAACAGACGTTGAAAGGTAAAGCTCTTATAAGTTATAGATTTTTGAATATTATTTAATACTAGCAGAGACCCGCAAAACATTTCCGACCAAATTAGTATCTTCATCGTAACAGTACTTCTTTAAATATAACATTTCTAGCACAATACAAACGAATTGTAATCGTAGACAACGAGATGTGTAAATCCACTTGTATATAGACGGTACTTTATAAAACTTTAACTTATGTGTACGTGTACGTTTTTTTTTTTAATTTGGTTTAGTTAGGACTAAACTTTACTGTACCCTAACACTATCAATAAATAAACTTATAATGTTATTCTACCACCCTTACGTCAAACCTTTTTTAAAAACTTTAATACGTTTTTAATATTCTGTTGTACAAAATGGTTAGTAAAGTGTATTTACATTCCCCTTTTGTTGTTACTTCTTGTTTCATACAGCAATGGTAGTGATTTGATCACTGAGCTTTGCAGTTCTCTGCCG